AACCAATTTAGCCACCCAGGCACCCCTATGATTAGGGTTTTAACCAGCTTGTAGTCATGACTTATCCAGATATATTCTCCAATATTTAGCATATTGCTTATTTGTTTATTTATTTATTTTCCACACACTTAGAGCACTGATAGCGTTCTTTGTTTTCAGACACATCCTAATATCCATTTTATTATATTATATATTTTTATACTTTTCACATTAGACCCATATTTCTCAGCCTTTTACTCATTATTACCCCCAGGAGCCTTTTTAGATAGTTTTTCCTAATTGCTCCTCTCCCTTAGGAAATTTTAATTCCACAGATAAGAGTAGATCTGTTTATGTGTTGTATGTATATCTGTGACATACTGTTAAAAAGGGCAAGATTTTGTCACTGCTCTTTCCAAAGAAACAGTTTGGAGTGATAGCTTCCCTGTCACGGTGTGCATTTGACTTTTTAGACATGATTTGATTGTGTAGATTAATCATTCAGAGCCGGTGTTATATAGTTGGAAAACTCTGAGAGTAAATTCTGGCTGCTCCGTTAATTAGCTGTGTGAACTTTTGTCAGTTTCTTACGCTTTCTAAACCTACTTTCCCTCATCTATAAGATGGAAATATTGTCTTCTTAAGGATTAAATGAAAATTAAATGAGGTAGTTAATGTAGTTAATGTAATATGTTTAACACATATTAATTGTTCAATACATGTTAGCTCTTACTTTATTATCACAACATCCATTCTGTTTCATTTGAACCTAAGGCTTGAAATGTCTAGTGGTTCTCTTTTCTCATTGTTATTTTTTAAATTTGTTTGAAACGTTATTTATTTTGAGCAGGTGTGGGGGGGTGGGCAGAGAGAGAGGGAGAGAGAGAATCCCAAGCAGACTCCACACTGTTAGCACAGAGCCCAATGTGGGGCTCAATTCCACGAATCATGAGATCATGACTTGAGCCAATATCAAGAGTCAGATGCTCAATTGACTGAGCCACCTAGTCACCCCTCTTTTCTCAATTTTAATACTGACTGCCTGTGGAGGGAAAATGTAAACTCTGGAGGTAACATGAGATAAAATACCTACAGTTTTTCAAAGCTCCTAAAACGCTAATTGGGAAGAAAATTTCTTAGTAGGTGTATAAACTATATGTAAAGTATTATAATGAATTTATGTGGTGTCTTGAACCATAGATTATTAGTTTATTCTTGAGCCATAGATTATTAGTTTATTAAATAATTCTGGATTCTATTTTTAGATATTTGATTTAATGGATTCCAAAGCACGTGCTGATTGTATCAAAGAAATTGATCTCCTTAAGGTAAATAAATGAACTATTGACTATTTTTAACATAGCTGAGCCTGTTGATAAAAGTGATTTATAAAAATACTGCACTTATAAGGAAAAAGATTTTCAAGACTTAACTTAGGCCGCATTGGTTTTAAGCAACATGATGTAAATTTGTATCTCACTATATGGAAGAATGTAGTTACCTTTTGGATTCATCATAAAATAATTTAATTGGGACATTTGGTAAAATTAGCTCCCCCCACTCCCCACCCCCCCTGCTTTTCAAACTAGAAAATAAAATGAGCATAAAACATTGAAGAAATTTTTTCTTGACCATCCCAGTTAGACGTATTCTAAAGGTTAAGTAACATAAATGTGTATTGGTATTATCTCAAAGTTCAAGATATAATATAGATGTATATCTCAAGATGTAATATATTGAGAATGTGGACTGATCCAACTGGGTACATGATATTTATAATATTTCTGTAACATTTTCCCAGATTTAGAGAGAGTGATGTAAAGAGTATGTCAGAATTCGCTTTTCAGTTTCTTATCCACTCAAAGAATGCGACTGAAATTTCAGTTATCTCTAAACTGCTTTTATTCTAGTGAAATTTCCTTCAGGAATGATGTAGCTTATGTTCTGTTTTCAGCTAGTAGATAAGACTTGGATGTTTTTATGCCATACATTTTTGTTTGTGCCTAACATGAATCTGATTTATCAACAAGATAAGAGTAAGATCAAAATGAACCATACTTTCCATCTGTTCTGTTAGTTGTAGTTATTTCCTGGGCCATGAAGCAACTGCTTTAAAAATAAATATAAATTGTTATAGAGAAGTATTATAGAAGATGTGGAGGAAAACCGTGTAAGTAGAAAGAAGAGAAGAAAATCATGTATATACCATCTGGGAGAATTCTTGAATAATTTTCTTTGAGAAACTATTTGTCTTATGTTATCTTGTTTAAAGATTGAACAAAAAGATTGTACAAAAGGATTGTCCGTGTGTATAGACTGATGTGTATATTTTTGCAAGGTCAAATTTTTCTTAGGATCATTTAATGACTCAACCCCATAGGTAAACTCATATCATTTGATGTAAAAATTATATTTAGATACAGTCGATGTCCTTTTATTTTGTTTTGTTTTAAACCACTGGTTATAGTTACATAAGGATCAGGCCAACTTCAAAACCAGAGTAGGAATACTTTATTTACCACCGAGCACCCATAATGACAGTTCCCATTTTGAAGATATAATTTTTAGCAATTGGTGCTTTAATGATGTCATTCATTTATATATTTTTTCAATATATGAAATTTATTATCAAATTGGTTTCCATACAACACCCAGTGCTCATCCCAAAAGGTGCCCTCCTGAATACCCATCACCCACCCTCCCCTTCATTTATATTTATATATTTATTGAACATAGTAATATGTACTTTCAAACTTTCTAAAAGTTTTCAAACTTTCTATTATTTCTAATAAAGAATATCAAAATAAACTGGTATCTACTTTTACTTTTAATAATTACAATACATGTTTCAAAATTCACTGGCTTAAAGAAAAATACACATGATGTCATGTTAAGATTTCTAGCTTAAAAATGAAATGCAATAACTAAGTTTATTCTTCAGTTAAGAAACTATAAGTGATTCTTGATAATTTACAATTGAAAAAACTTTTCTGGTGCCTGTTTGTTTGTTTGTTTGTTTGTTTGTTTGTTTGTTTTTGTTTGTATGTTTTTCCATCAGCAACTCAACCATCCAAATGTAATTAAATATTATGCATCATTCATTGAAGATAATGAACTTAACATAGTTTTGGAATTAGCTGATGCTGGTGATCTATCCAGAATGATAAAGGTAAGGGTTTGTTTTGTTTTTTGTAAACTAAATATTTATTTTTTCTGATAAAAATTGTCTGTTAAACATACAGGTATATCAGATACTTTAAAGACCTCATTGTCATACTTTAACATATGATAGATATGTACTGAATGACAGATCGTAGTGATGATTATGATTTTGAAGCTGGTTTACCTGGTGACGTTTACACTTCAACTGAGATGTGTGAACACTCTGAAACCAACTTGGAAATAGACCAACAGATTTGTCTTCTGTAAGCTGAAGTTAAAATTTTGCAGCTTGATTTCTCTGAACAGACCACCCTTGATCCTGTATCTATAGATATCAGGCAAAGGGTAACAGAAAGGGATTCTAGAGAATCTGGACCTGTTCCTAGGAGGGATTCATCAAAGAATAAAATGGGCTTTGCATTCAGACCTTGCACATCAAACCCTGATTCAACCACTTAAAAGTTTATTTAACTTTCTTTTCTAAGAGCGTATAAATTGGTTTAAGTTCAGTTACAAGTTATAGAAACCCTCAAATTACAGTGTCCTAAACACTGCTTGTCCTTAGGCAAGTTACTTTCGTGTACCACAGTTTCTCAAAAACAAAATAATAGTAGAACCTACTTCATAGGATTGTTGTTAATGATTAATTGATATTTATTCAGAGATAAGAACTGCGTCTCACACATAGTAAGGCTATGCAAATGGGAGCTAGTGCTGTATTATTATTGTTGTTAATTATATTTTTCTGTTACATAAAATTCTGGGGCTAATAGGGCAGCTCTGATCTATCAAATTCTCAGAAACCAAGCCTATTTATAGCTGATAAAGTCCCCTTTCGCCGGCATGTAGGGACGTAGGATATTTGCTAGCTGTATCTTTTTTTAAAAATTTTTTTAAACATTTATTTTTGAGACAGAGAGAGAGCATGAACAGGGGAGGGTCAGAGCGAGGGAGACACAGAATCTGAAACAGGCTCCAGGCTCTGAGCTGTCAGCACAGAGCCCGACGCGGGGCTCGAACCCATGGACCGCGAGATCATGACCTGAGCCAAAGTCGGACGCTTAACCCACTGAGCCACCCAGGCGCCCCTTGCTAGCTGTATCTTGAGGCACATTGCTGGATACTGCCACACAACATTTTTAGCTTCATCCCAGTGGCCAAAATTTGGTCTTATGAACATGTGTAGCTGCAAGGGAGGCTGGAATATATAGTCGTCATTTGGCTGGTCATGTGCCAGCTAAACTTCTATTCAGGAAGACATGTTGAAGAGAGTGGAAATCAATGAAGACCAACTAAATGAGAAAAGCAAGGCTCTTTATTCTGAGCTTGCTATAGCACGCAAGGGAGTCAACCATTGTCACTGACATTTTACCAGAGATTCATAGGCAGGCAGAGGAATTAGAAAATCTTTATAATGGGAAAAATAAGCCTTTAGGTATGACCTGATTAGAGGCTGCTGGCCTGAAGGAGCTATAGGTGAGCTACTCAGAAGTGAGGCATATCATCTGGCTTTCTCTGGTTCGTCCTAAGTTGGAAGCAGGAACAAAAATTAGGGAACCTGTCAGTTATTAATCAAGTCCTGGGCATTTGGGGCTGATTGTTACAGAGTTACTGTTCAGCTTCCTGGATTGTCACTAGAGACAGCAGTCTGGCTTCCTGCATGTCTGACATAGAAGGCTGGCGTCCTGGGTTGTTTGTTATGGATAAAAGGTTTCCTGGTCAGGTTGCTGAAGGTTGTGGTTCAAAGTTCTATTTTTATATGATCTGGCCATTGACTGTATATTTGGTCTGTCAACAGATATTGGAGCGCAACTAGTAATCTCTGCCACATGGAGTTCTTAAAAACAATGTTAGATGCTTTATATGCATTGCCATATTTACTCTTCACAAGGACTCTGGCAGGTAAATTTGACACTTAGAGAAGACAGTCATCATCACTAGTAAATAGAAGGACTAGTGTGTGAAATTAAGTTTGTCTTCTGATACAAAATTATATGTGTTTTCCCTTAATGGCCCTTAGAGATTTTTATATCACAGAACTCCTTTGAAAAATCAGATGAAAACCCTTGACCTTCTCCCCAGAAAGATGTTGATGCACATAAAATCTGCATTCCATCACAAAGCCTGCACAGATTTTCTGATCAAGGCACTCACCAGTTCTCTAGCAGTAGTTAGGATCCCTCGTCTCCAGTGGAAGGTCAGTGTCAGCCACTTACACTCTCCTGTTGCTTAGCTTCTCTTAGGATTAGTTTCCTCATTCATAAGATGGGGCAGTTTTGAGGTTGCTTTCTAAATTATAAAAATACTGCATAACAGGGAGGTAATATTTTTTATTATCACAGAATGCTATCAAACTGACTCTGTTTCAAGTCCCATGGTTTGAGTGACTCACTTCTAATCGGTTATCTGATCTTCTCTTTTAGGGACTTCCCACCACTAGCACAAACTGTCTTTGCAAATTAATGAACAATTAAAAAAAAATTGTGGTTTTAATTTTAAAAAGAAATACAAACACACAAACGCCAAATCTGCAAAACAGCTATCAAGATGAGACCCATAAAAGCAAATGTAAATAGTCCTTATAAGAGAGACAATTAATATAAAATTCTTGGCTTAAACTCTAAGTGCAAGAGTTATTTAAGTATTTATAGTGGGAAGCAAAGAGGGCAAATCTTTATTGGGCAAATACCAACCGAAGACAGATAAAAAAACGTACAGTTTTCAGTTGTCAGGTTTCGCCCCTGATGAGAGATCGATGATTTGGGGTTTTGATTGTGCTCTAGAGATTTTTGCCCTTTTTCAGTTTAGTTTTTTTTCTTTGCTACTGCTACTCCACACATACAGGTCGCTGTCCCTGACCCATTGCCAAGGCATGCCTGAGCCCATAACATTTACCTTGGAAGAATTCTCCTGTCCTTTCACCACTTGAGAAAGCTAGTGCACAATCAGAGTACCTTACAGAAGAAGCCCTGTTACCTGCGTCTTTAGCAGATTCAGATTTCTTAGGCCACTGAGGGAGGAAAAATTTCCTGGTGTGTTTTTATATTTACTGTGATGACGAACTCAGCTCTCTTACTTAAATGGATCTTGCCTTCAGTTGACTTTTTCAGAGAGTTGTTTTATCAGCTGACCCAGTGGAATGTAGTAAGATCAATTCTGTGTTTGGTAATGAATAGTAACATACAGTTATAGAATCGATAACTATCCTCTTCAAGTATCCTTGGGGCCTCTGACTAAAATTTGAACGTATCTATCATGGAAAATAGTACTTAGGAAACTTTTTTTAAAAATAAAAGATACCAACTGATTGCTAGTAAGTTATATGTTTATAGAGCAATTTATTGTACTTCGATAGAACCGAGGTAGTTTTCTAGAGAATTGGGATATCAATCTTCCTTCCTGTCTAATAGACATTGTATAAGCCTTTAATGACCCTATTCTTTACTGTAGGTACCATTAGTCTGTCTCACCAAGGTGGAAGGATTCTGGGTCAGATTTCCCAGATCATCTTGGAGACCTTCTAAAGGTTGAAAGTTATATTGTCAAACCTATAGATCTTTAGAATAGTCTCAGCATAATGGCCACACTAGAAAGGTATTCCAATGTCCATAACAGAAAGTTTGACCAAGTAGTTTCACATGAGTAGAATATTTTTATATTTGGTTACATTTATGTATGTTTTTTATGATAAAGAAGGACAATAAAGAGGCGAGAGGTGTTGCTATTTTAAGTAAGATGATGAAAGAAAACACTACTGACTTGAGTCTTACACCCCCACCTCCACCTGCCTTTCCCTCCATGCTGTCCTGGTTCTGTTTTTTCCCTTTGCAGACAGACACTCCTGACCCTGTTTCCAACACCACAAGAAATGGCTCTTGAGTGACCTCTGTCATTAAATCCAGTGGACTTCAACCAGTGCTCATTCTGCTTGATGTCTCAGCTGCACTTGGCTCTGTTGTTCCTATGCTTCTTCTTAAAATACTCCTCCACTGGCTTGTTGAGTCCCATAGTGCCTTGGTTTCCTTCCTGCCTCTCTGGAGACTCTGATTCTTCTTAACTGACACATTCTCATCTCTTGGCCTTTAATGATAGAGTTTTAAAAGTTTCAGTCCTGACTTTTTTTTTTTCCTTTTTGCTTTATACTTTCCTCATAGTTGATGTCATTCATGCCTGTGGATTCAGTTACTTTCTGTACACCGTTGATTTCTAACTTTTTATCTTTAGTCTGGAGCTGTCTTTCAGTTCTGAACTCACGTTAACTCAACACGTCTGTAAAGAAATTCACGATCGTCCTCACAGACTACCCTCCTCCTCCAATGCTAACTTGATATTCAGTACCAGTCTGCCCAGTTGTGCATGCTAGAGCCCAGGACTCTTCTTTGACACTTCTTTTTTTTTTTTTTCCTTCTTTGACACTTCTGTCCCTCACCAAGTTCAGTTTTTTCTTTTAAACGTCTTTCAAATTTTCCACCCTGCTCTACTTCCATTTGTCTCCCTGTAGTATAAAGTAGCATCATCTGTCACCTGTAGGGCAGCAACTTTTTAACTAATCTTCCAGCTCCCGGCACCATTTCTCTAATCTGTTTCTCCATCGGTCTGTAAGACAAGTGAGAAGGGAAGAAAGAAAAGAAAAACCTCTGTTTTTAAATCCTTCTTGTGTTTCCCATTGAGGGTGAAGATGCTTGTCAAGATTTACTAGACCTGGGTGATCCAGAGTACAAGCTCTGAGAGGGAGGAATCTTTGTTTTGTGCCCTCACATATCCCTAGTGTCTAGGACAGCTCCCTGCACAGAGTAGGTGCTCAGCAAGTATCTGCTGTAGAAGGTGTAGACACCTTCAGTTTCCGGGGAGGTGCCTGGCTAATAGTAGCAACTCAATAAATATGTTGAATGAATGAATACATAAAAGGTGGTTATTTTCTTTCTCTTTCCTTCCTCCTGATTCTCTTACCTGTGTTACACTTCTCTGCTCCAGGGACCAGTAGGTGAACCTGGGTGGTTGTACAAC